CCAGTTTTAAAAAGACAAAGAACATTCAAAGACTCGAAAGTACAGAGGAATTGTTAAACCTTGAAGAACAGTCGAATATCAAATCATGCATATATTTATACATTTTTTTTTTTAAATGGACCTAAGCCTAAATTTGGCGTTTCTCTTCAAACTACCTGTTTTTATACTTACACATGTCAGTTATAAGCCGAAATAGCTTCCTATTCATACTTATACTTTACTGTTTATTGAATACCGCATTTCCATTTTTTTTTTCATTCAATTATTCTGATGTCAATAGGAATCATATTACAAAAACATATAAACACACTTTATTGCATATTTTCTCTAAAATAATTTCATAAGGTGAAGAAGCAGATGTCATAGCAAAGTGCGCCTTTAAAAATAAATCATGTTCTTAAAAATCGGGTAACGGAACACTATGACAATATTCCGAGATAAAAATAATGAAGAAAAAAATCTTCGTGCGTGTTGAAAAATTCAGAAAGAAAACTTCATTGTTTTTTAACTTGTGTTAAAATGCCTTTAGAAGAATGAAGATGTTAAAAGTAACATAAATGCATAAAATACGTTTACTACATGAAAGACATACATTATGTGTCTATGCCTACAATGTAGTTACAAATAAAAAAAAATGTGCACTGAACTGTAGGTATAAGAATAAACTTAAATAAAAATATTCTAAAAATGTGGTATAGCTGCAGAAAATTCAAGTTGGCTTCAGTGAATGTATTATCAACACTATATGATGACGCGGTCACAGTCGCGTCACAACATGTTGTGAACGTCAATTCGGCATATTTCAATACAAAATACGTATGCTTGACTTGTAAAAAATGTAGAATTGTTTCTGAACAAGAAAATCTGCCGGAAATACGACAAAAATACAAAATTGAAAATATAAAATTTACTGTTTGTGCAAAAGTAGAACATCAATGCAGGCACAGAGCAACGCATAGAACCGGGGTTTTTTTGCTAGCCTTCACGACCGGAAGACGAACGTTTTTGAAGCCTGCATATATATGTAGCATAGAACCAATTCACTCATGTTCCTGTAGTTTCCGTACATGTGCTGTTATAACGGCCTGCACTGAAGCGATCAGCCGAGAGTGCCCGCTATCATAAAAGTGTTGACAACACTATTACAGTGGTGACGACATTATAACAGTGGTGACGATATTATTACAGTGGTGACGACATTAGTACAGTGGTGACGACATTATTACAGTGGTGACGACATTATTACAGTGGTGACGACATTATTACAGTGGTGACGACATTATTACAGTGGTAACGACATTATTACAGTGGTGACCATATTATTACAGTAGTAACGACATTATTACAGTGGTGACGACATTATTACAGTGGTGAGGACATTATTACAGTGGTGATGACATGGTTACAGAAAAGACGACATTAGTACAGTAGTAACGAAATTATTACAGTGGTAACGACATTATTAAAGTGGTGACGACATTATACCAGTGGTGACGACATTATACCAGTGGTGACGACATTATACCAGTGGTGACGACATTAGGACAGTGGTGCCGACATTACTAGAGTGGTGACGATATTATTACAGTGGTGACGAAATTATTACAATGGTGACGACATTATTAAAGTGGTGACGACATTATACCAGTGGTGACGACATTAGGACAGTGGTGCCGACATTACTAGAGTGGTGACGATATTATTGCAGTGGTGACGACATTATTACAGTGGTGACGACATTATTACAGTAATGACGACATTAGTACAGTAGTAACGACATTATTACAGTGGTAACGACATTATTACAGTGGTGACGACATTATTACAGTGGCGACGATATTATTACAGTGGTGACGACATTATTACAGTGGTGACGGCATTATTACAGTGGTGACGATATTATTACAGTGGTAACGACATTATTACAGTGGTGACGACATTATTACTGTAGTAACGACATTATTACAGTGGTAACGACATTGTTACAGTGGTGACGACATTAGTACAGTGGTGACGATATTATTACAGTGGTGACGATATTATTACAGTGGTAACGACATTATTACAGTGGTGACGACATTATTACCGTGGTGACGACATGACGACATTATTACAGTGGTGACGACATTATTCCAGTGGTGACGACATTATTACAGTGGTGACGATGTTATTACAGTGGTGACGACATTATTACAGTAGTAACGACATTATTACAGTGGTAACGACATTGTTACAGTGGTGACGACATTAGTACAGTGGTGACGACATTATTACTGTGGTGACGACATTATTACAGTAGTGACGACATTATAACAGTGGTGACTACATTAGTACAGTGGTGACGACATTATTACAGTAGTGACGACATTATAACAGTGGTGACGACATTAGTACAGTGGTGACGACATTATTACTGTGGTGACGACATTATTACAGTAGTGACGACATTATAACAGTGGTGACGACATTAGTACAGTGGTGACGACATTATTACAGTAGTGACGACATTATAACAGTGGTGACGACATTAGTACAGTGGTGACGATATTATTACAGTGGTGACGATATTATTACAGTGGTGACGACATTATTACAGTGGGGACGACATTATTACAGTAGTGACGACATTATTACAGTGGTGACGACATTAGTACAGTGATGACGACATTATTTCAGTGGTGACGACATTATTACAGTGGTGACGACATTATTACAGTGATGACGACATTATTACAGTGGTGACGACATTATTACAGTGGTGCCGACATTATTACAGTGGTGACGATATTAGTACACTAGTGACATCATTATTACACTTGTGACGACATAAATACACTAGGGACGAATTTATTACAGTAATGACGACATTATTACAGTAGTGACCGTACTTTTACGGTAGTGACGACATTATTACAGAACATTCGACAATATTACCGACCTGTCGATATTATTAAAGTAGTGAAGACATAATTACAGTACTGACGATACGTTTGTAGTTCCTTTTTGACGACATAACTACAGAAATGAGGATAGTTGTGACGTTTTACACTCGCTATCATGACTGTGACCAAAACTGGTTCGTTTGTGTTTTTCAATTTAATCGATTAAGTAAAAATAAAGCTTCTGACTACGGTTACAATGTGTGACTTTTAATTGGGCCAATACGAGCTTTAAGCTCATTTCCCGGCCATCCGGATCAAGGTAAATCAAATACACCGATTAAAGTCTATAAACTGCACACAGTCGAGTATAAGGTGTAGAAGTAGTTAATCAGGCTAGATGTAACGTAGACATTGACTTATATAAAAAAAATTGACAATCAATGTTGGATTGTAGTTCGTTTACCGAATCAGTGAAGGGTTTTAAGTTTGATCAGATAATAACTGTACATACTTGTCTCAACCCCCGATACTGATATAATCTTGTCCCACAGATCATAGAAGTGAATTGATATCACGACACTCATTGAGATACTCCTATCCAGTTACAAAGGTCGATTGGTAATCGAATAGGGGTAATTGTTCAGTTCTTGCTCCCTTACTGGCGCATGGTGATACGTTAAAAGATAGCTTCCATTTAATTTGTCGGTAAAGTTGTCATGTTTTCACGTTGTCGTTCATTTAAACAGATAAGGCACTTAGGCGCGTATGGGTTATAACCCTACATGCATTTGGGTATCAGGTATCGTTTTGAGAGCTATTTTATCACTTACATGGGGAATAAAGCGAAATGAGAACACTTAATTCTTTTAGGCATTATCAACCAAAACGAAAAAAATAGCATCATTCGTTCAACATAATCCAATAAACAAACGCATGTTAATTCAGTTGTCTAAATCATTGGGAAAATGATGAATTGCATCACCTCCATTGATTATTTTTCTATGTAGAGTGACTAGAAATAGCGAACAGAAAAACAGATCTTGCTCACCTGTCGCGTTTACACTGGATGTTAAAAAGTCAGTGATACGACTTGTGTCATTTATTGGATTTAGTTGAAGGAATAACGCCTTTTTGTTTTGCTCCTAGTGTAAAAGAACTTTGTAAATTTTTATTTCACTTTATTCCCCATTTCAGTAATACATGCAGGACTATTGCCTATATGTGGCGTTGTGTACAGCTTGGTTAAATGGTTAAAAACAAAAAAGCTTAACGAGGTATGAATAAATCTCCCCTACGTATTCATAAGCTTCAAATTATATGGACGTGGCTCGCTTTATTTGATTTGGAGACACCTGACGTTTCGTTTATAATCAAATAAATCGGCCCACGCCCATGTCCTTCAAAATATACCCTAAATAGGTTGGTTGTAACGTGTCAATACACCTAATCTTACCGCATATATGAGTTTGTAGTATTGTCAAAGTGTGTTCACGGTTTTAGTCGGTGAACGCATGGAAAATCTCTAACTCCCACTCACCTTACTAGGTGCATAAACACTGCTTAGGGCAAACTATGGAACACAAACGTGCATTAGATATCTTATTAATCTTTTGATACGCTATATTGAAATTTCAGTATTTAGTTCAAAAAGTCGTAAAATTGTACTGAATATCTTCGGAAAAACAATGGTACATGTATGTGCCTTTTCAGTGGTACAGAGTATCTACTGTTTTCCATGGTGTAATTTATTTGGGGAATAATCATGTATTTTGAAGATCGAGACATTTTATGTTGTCATCGGCTTTCTCCCCGGATAGTCGGGTGGCACAGTAGATAACGCACTCGCCTTTCACCAAGCCGGACAGGGTTCGATTCCCCATTTTCATTATTTCAACATATTCTATTGCCTTGAAATAGCAACAGGATTGGACAAACACAAGTTATACAACTTAAACAAAGCCCTTTCTGTTATATATTACAATAATAATGTGTCAAGGTGGCAGCTTAAGAATTACTACACTGAATTATATATGATGAATGATTGAACATTGGCAAGTTCATATACATAAGTTCACACGTCCACACTTCCACACGTCCACATTTCCACACGTCCACAGGTCAAACTTCCAAACGTCCACACTTCCACAAGTCCACGCGTCCACACGTCACACTTCCACACGTCCACACGTCCATATTTCCACACGTCCACACCTCCACACGTCCATATTTCCACACGTCCACACCTCCACACGTCCATATTTCCACACGACCACACCTCCACACGTCCGGACGTCCACATTTCCACACGTCCGCACGTCCGCACGTCCACACGTCCATACGGACGCACGGACGCACGTCCAAACGTCCAGATGTCCACATTTCCACACGTCCACACTTCCACACTTTCACGTCATCCCGTCCACACTTCCACACTTCCACACGTCCACTCTTCCACACGGACACACGGACACACTTCCACACGTCCACACGTCCACACGTCCACACTTCCACACGTCCATACGTCCACACGTCCACACGTCCACACTTCCACACTTCCACACTTCCACACGTCCACACGTTCATACTTCCACACGTCGCCACTTCCGCACATCCACGCTTTATGAAACATGCAATTAGAAGGAAAGAAAGAGGGGGAGGCAGAGTGTGGGGGGGGGGTAGAAAGTTCAAAGTGCGACCTTATGTTAGCAAACATTTATTTTCATATATATACATATATACAACATTTGATATAGCGCCCTATATAGCTAGCATAAGCTACTCTGAAGCGCTTTACAGTACATAGATATACAACTTATACAATTAGCATATACATTAATCAATGCAATTTTGAGGAATTCGCAGAAGCTTCCTTATCAGGCGCTAACTACTAGTCATATGCCACCTGTCTAATATCTCCCTATGTGTGTATGTCTGCGTATGTGCTGGAGATCTACTGTGTTCTGTCGCTAGTGGGACCGTGCTTCCAACGCCATCATTTATAGTGCCACCTCATTTGAATGCTACAGCACAGATACCGCAACGTCCACCCCAGACCAGTTTATACTCCACCAGGGTTGTTGGAGTTGTGTGGGCTTCCATGCGTGCGACGACTTTGAGGATCGAACCCTGGCAGCCTGCGTAGAAGGCCAAAGTGTTAATCAATAACTACTCGACCAATCCGCCCATTCTCCCTCGAATATACCTGTTTGTGCTTGTAATATGTGTTTTATAAATTTCTTGTACCAGAACATTCGTACTTTGTTTTTGTTTTGTTTCAATAGTTAAGGATAAATCATAGATCGGAATCCTGCCCTGGTTTGTATTACACAATACTCTGAATGCAATTAAACAATGTGTTTGGACGACTGTCGAGTTGAACTGGTAAAACAATAGCCGTAATATTACCCTGGAAAGATCGCAAGGCAAGATTAAATAAACGGTGTTCTAGTACACAGACCTGCTCCACGCAGTCGTCGGTACAGAAATGACACGAAGGTAAGTTCGTATTGTTTGCACGTAATTATGATAATAATTGCTGGAATCAGGTTTCACTAATGTTTCGTCAATTTTCTCTTCTTTTTATTTCATTTTTTTTGTTGTTGTGGCCGATGTTAAGGTTTTGTTATCAAATTTTGCGCCACTTATTTGCTATGTCTTTTATGGCAGTAATGCGTTCGTTAACCCTTTAAGTACCTTTGATCATGATGAGGAGATTGATTTCTAATTTCGTTCTTCCTGTGTATGGCATGCTAATTACGAAAAACTGTTTCACGCATGCCAAGATAATGTTTCATATTATCTAACCCAAGTGTCGTTTTGGTCACTGGTACAAGAAATAATCACTGCATACTCAGAAAACTGTATGGTATTTTAAGGGGGTGATGGGGGTGAGGGGGCGAGGGGTAAATATGTCTAGTTTCCAATCCAATACATACTCTATGTAGAAATGAGAGTCTCTGAAATAACCTGAAAAAATGCATCTTAATTCTTGAAAATAATCCACAAATTGATTAAATCTTACAAAGTGTAGTACAATAATTGACAGATATGTACACGGACCTTGGTAGGTCAAATTTTAAATAGCAATCCTAAATGGCATTCATACGAGACAACAATAACAAGAAATATCTTTAAAAAGATAAACGGCATAATGTTTTGGTACATATTGTATGTGCTTATAAGTCTGAATTAAATGTATACCTATGATATTGCTTAGAATATATTAGGAGACGAATGCATATCAAAGACATTGGTAGCTGCATCAAAAGGAATTTTACTATTTACTTCGCCCAGTTAAAAAGAAGTTACCATTCAACGGGAGATAACTCTCAAATATGTGTATTACTATTTCCTATAGCTGCGATAACAGTATATATAGCTTCTCGGTCCGATCGTTTAATTTATTTTTTATTTATTTTATTTTCGGACTGAAGAGCTATGGTATTCGTAGTGTAAAAAAATCCGAATTTAGCGACTTCGATTGAGGTCGGGAAACAAGTCATCATACGGCGACTTTCCTAACACGTATATAAAAATGATTCCGAATGAATTAATCTTTTGTTATGATTTAAAAATAGATAAATAGTGTGAAACATTTTTGGAACTGCTATTGTCCCTTTGAGGAGGAAGTCGACAAAAGTAAATAAGGGTAATAAGCTTACACGTATATTATTATATATTTCCATTTGCTCTGTAATATTGCCACTATATAACCTTATAGTTATATATTTCCATTTGCTCTGTAATATTGCCACTATATAACCTTATAGTTATATATTTCCATTTGCTCTGTAATATTGCCACTATATAACCTTACCAAACAAAATAGAAAGATATCAGATCATAATTCTCACATGATTCTCATTGGTGTAGTGATATGGAAAAGATGTTCGTGACGTCGTGACTAAATGACGTCTTTTTAACCGACGTCAATAAATTAAGTGCATTATTGACGTCACAAAAAATAACAATACGCATTCCTCGTGGTAACCCATCCGTGCTACCGTATTAAAAACCCAATTGATCAATATAATTCGCAAAAAGTTATGTAGTTATGTTGTATAAGAGGTGAATATATTGATTAAATTGTTGAAACTAAATTGATGATTTGGCGTTTATTTCCACGAACTATATTGTGACGTCACAAAAACATGTCCCGTTGACAAACAGCGCGAAATTTGACTTTGAAATGCGATAACGGGTTAGAAATATAAGAAGAAGAAAAAACGGAAATCGAAGTATTAACGCGCGTTATGATTAACTTGTCTGCAATCATGTGAGAATTATAGGACAATAACTTTCCAAAGAATTCAGTTTAATGCTTTAAAAGTTTAAATTGTCATCCTTAGCATCTTATGGTACTTGTCTGAATCCTCAGCTGTTTATATCTTTACACATTGGATTCTGGACACCATGCCTGACGTATGGGGAGCCATCGACTTACGACTTACGACTTACACGCTTAATGTCAAACAATAAATATTTCTATAATTGTACTAACAACAGGTCAAATATTGCTACCCAAGGTCCTTTGATTCTTAAAGAAAAGAATTGTAATTGAAATTATGAAAAATGTGGTGCATTTAGTTTTATAAACGATTTATTAATCGAAAGTATTATTTGACAAACTAATAGGTTTTTATATATTTTATTTATTTACTAATTGTAAATTTTAATTCAACTTTATCGATAGTTCGAATAAGAGACACTCTTTAGAACAAAGCGAATTAACATAGACCAAATGACACCTAAATACTGCAAATTGCAATGAAATTTTCACGATTGAATCTTCAAGAAAAAAAGGCTTTTGATCAAACAGTGTCTTATTTGTAATCAAAATAACCGATGGAATGTATATTTCACATAACGACGGAAAAACTGTGTAGTTAGTTTACATCAAAAATTCTGTTTTCCGTTATGTCCCTTTGCAATTCATAATTTCTGATATGAGCATCCTCTTGCAAATACTTCTTTTGAAAATATCTAAGCTGGTGCCGACATAAATAATAATTCTGCATATGATTTGTAAGTAATTCTCTAGTGTTAGATAAATATTATAAACAACCAAATCCTTATATAATTGCTGATAAAATAATAACGATATTTTTTATCCAACTTTTGCTTTTTATGTTTGCAGTGGGACAAAAATCACTCGACCCGGTACTTTGACGTATCTTATGGTAGGGTTCTCTGCTCTCCTATTCCTTACAAGTACCATACTAACAATACAGCTGTCGGTACCTTTCCTGGTGGGTGTTTCAAAACATTCACCAAAAATATCTTCAGGAGACGCACCAACGGTCAAAAACGTTGTACACGCTAAGTCTACGAGCACTTGGAAGGGAAACACTAAGAATGTCAAACCAGCAGTCCTTGTTAGGAGTCTAGTGAGAATAACTCAAAGTCTTCATCAAGCTTCTATGCATGCTAAAAGCTTGAAGACAATATCTGCCCTGAGAAAAGCCACTGGTGAGATCAAGACTTTGCTACGACAATTGGGTCTCAGTTACGGAAACGTCACAGCGAGGGACGTCACTGCTCCGCGCATGGTTTGTCCAGAGGAGTACCGAGGGACTAAATATGGGTCAGACAGCTATGAAAAAGGTTTTGAGACGGTACCTTGCGAACACAGCAGACCTCTTTCTGAACTTATAACCGTTTTAGTGTTGCTTGATAGTTCTACCACGTCTGTGCATAGTGTTGTGACGGATATTCAAGGGGTTATTCCCGGCGTCAAAACCGTCGTAGGGCTGAAGGAGCCCCGAACACACGGGTCAGGAGCCAAACCAGACAATGCACTCGTTACACAGGTAACATACACGATGGAGGAACCTGAAGGTCAGGTATGGAACTATATGTTGGAAAGCGTACAGACGGAATATGTATTGGTAGCACGAGATGTGCACATCTTCGATAAAAACATGCGCATTGGTCGTTTAATCCGTGTGATGGAGATGCTTGGATTTGTGGCGGCGGGTGGTGCAACGCGCGATTCGCTTGACGGTAAGTGGAAGCTCGGGTGTTATCAAAACGGAATGCGGAACTACACGGCAGTTTATCAGGAAGGATACGATGAGTCCATACAGGAGTGTGTGATATGCGATTACACGGACGGACCATTCGTAATCAGCACCAAAACTCTTCGGGAAGAATCCTTCGATAGCAAAATTACAGGCGTCGGTCACTTCCATGATCTATTTTTACGCCTTGGCCAGGAAAAGTTAGTTGTGTGTTCCGATTCAATGTTTCATGTTAGACCCACAATAATGCAAGCCACATCAACGTCATGGGAAAGTTTTGCAAGGAAGTGGGAGATTTATAAATTAAAATTTGTCCCGGGACTAGAAATAATATTCAAGTGTGATTTCAAAACGAGGCAAGCATGCGCGTTCAAGACGAGCAGATTACAACATCCATGTTGTGTAGCCGATATAGTTTCAATGTTGAGTCACGTGGTGTCGCTGTGCGAATCACGAGGTATAGTGTACGAGGCAAGGTCAGGGACGTTGCTAGGGGCTGTTAAGCTAAAGTCGATTTTACCTTGGGATATAGACGCTGATTTAAATTACCTTCTGTCTAACTACAGTATCGTAAAACAGCTTGTTTCTCACTTTTCATTTCCGGGCCACAGGTGTCATGTGCAGATAGCTCCCCAATACGATTATAACAACACTTTGCTGTCAGCAAGCTTCCAGTTAGACAGTAACACCAGCTTTTGGAAAGTGGAGATCTGGGGTAAGCCTTCGAGTTCACTTACCTCCTGTACATACCGTACCGCAGTGAATAGCGAAAACGGGCGCACTGTTAGAACTAGGGTAAACATAAACAACATATGGGTACAAACCGCCTATAATCCTGGACTTTGGGCCAGAAACAGGTACGGGTCAGAGGTGTTTAGACATGCGCAGCACTGGCGGAGTCTTGGTAAGCTCACGAGCTTAGAACCATACCCAACGCATGCGTTCTTGGAATGTCCGGAACCAGGTCACCACGCATGCCTGGACTTCTTTAATACTGACGGTAACCTGCAGTTCTCGGATCCTATTCCTTGATTTTTTTGGAAATCAATGCGACATATTAAATTCATAGGAGTGTATTGCTAAACGGAAATAGGAAGTACATCCCTAGTTGAAAATCCAATGTAGGGAGACTGTATCTCAATTTCCGCATAATCTAATGTTTGATATTAAAGTGATGCATATTATCTGCTTATTATTGACAGAACAGTTTGTTCTTTCAATATTAAAGTATTGCAAAGCAATCCAGGCATTAATTCAGTTGTTTTTTAATCAATGAGTCACATGTGTCCATTTTTCTGTACTTCAGGAAACCGGCTACCTATTTCACTACTTTGAAGTTTTTCAAGAACGATAACTCTTGCATGCAATTACTATGTGTATATGGTTTTATTATAAAATGTCAATTTTTAATCGTTTATAGATAATTAATTTTACACAATTTCAGCATTTATGAAATTGATATACATTAATGCAATACTAATATATGTAAGTATCATTTTTATTGACATTATTTTGCAAAGAAATGTGTTTTTCAATAAAAAAA